TACTTTCCCCTTCAGTATGGCTCCAGCCTGCAGATACTCCCAATGCAGTTCCAGCTGGCAAAGATAAGCAATCTCAGACTGAACAATGTGCTAGACTGTGCTTTACCTCTCACGGGATCTCACTGCAATAAGGAACCTCAAGATCCTCCAGCTATGGAGGCACACCAAACACCATGATTCTCCAATGAATCTCCATCCACTGTCCTCCCGACCAGTACACTGAACACCGCTGCGGAGCATGAAACTCCGCTCATTTCCAGAATACGGTCAAACAAATAAACAAGATCCCTGTGTCTCAAGACACAGGCAGCGGGTTTGAGTCCTGGTCGGCTCGATTGAGTGCCCTGATACTAGACTCCAGCTCATTCACATCCCCGGTTGTGTACCCACAGGGGGAACGGTCGCAAGGCTGTGTAGATGTTGTATGGGGGGTCCTGCCCGTTGACCGTCCTGCTGGCTGCGCTCACGACATACACAGTTGGGGGAGGGGGGGTGGTCGCTGAGTGACTGCGTACCATTGGGAGTCTCCCGGCTTGGAATGCCCCTGCTCTTCCCTGGGTGTGTTAGATACAGTTTCGAATTGCAGTTCGGGCAATGTATACAACCCAGTCTTCTACCCAGGTAGGGTGCCCGAAGTGCAATTGCAAACTGTATCTTGCCCCATATAGAGTGCAATTATAACTCGTTTTTGTGACTCTACTGAAGTTACCCCCCCCAAAAAAAAGAATAAGGCCATCAGAGGTGCAGACTGAGTGCGTTTCTCTGGGAGAGATGCAGCATAGGCCCTAGCCAAAACTGTTCATGATGGTGTGTATGCGGAGGGGGGGGGAGTAAATAATGACAAGAAACCCCAGCACTCAGGCTTCACAGCAGACGACCTTGGGATAATTGGTAGAAAGAGCCCACGCCAAAACCGAAAAGGTTTTGGCCGCCCACAGTTCAGCCCTTTGGTACTACCGGCCCAAACAACTTTCCCCTGGGTGAAAGGCGCCTTAGCGCCGTGGCCACATCTCCCTGGGCCTGTTTTTACCGGTTCAAGAATTTGGCACTGTTTCTGCGCCAGATTCATGAACCGGTAGGGCCCTTCTTTTACAAAATCGCGTACGTGGGCCTCATTCGATACTTCAGCGTCACCACCGCGGGCCTCTTTTACATCAAAATGAATCTGGCGCTGTTATGCACCAGATGCATGATCCGGTAGGGCCCTTGGAGTGACGCGTGGGCCTGTAGTACCCCACATGCAAGTCATTGGGCCGGTAGTACCAAACGGCTAAACTTTGGGCGGCCAAAACCGAAAAGGTTTTCGCGTGGGCGCCTTCTACCGATTATCCCGGTCCTTTCTCGAAACAACGCATCACAAGGTTAGAGGTTGCAAAACACGACTACGGCATTCAACCAGGCAGGCAGGATTCCCGTACGATCGGACCAAGCCCTCAATGGAAGAGCTTAGCAGCTTTAGCTGACGGTTGAGAGAGAAAGAGGAAAGGAAGACAAACAGCAGTGAGGTAAAAGGCAGGAGGCACCAAAGTAATGACAACAGGTAGCAATAAGGGTATTAAATTTTAAGGGACAAAGGCTGGAAGGCATGGGGGAGGCGGGTGGGAAGACAAACAGCACACAGAAGTGAAGGGAAGAACAGCGAAGCAACAAAACACAGCAAAAACAAAAGGCAGCAGCCCAAAAAGAAAGTACCAAAGCAAGCAAAGACCGAAAAAAAAAAGGCAATTGATTGTTTCGTCTGGTCAGGAGGATGAACCCTCGACCATCTGCGGAATCTTTGTATTGATGGTTTGGGCCATGAACCCTTAGACTTTTTGATCAATGCTGAAGGCAGACCGTTCCCAAGCGGAACACAGCAGCAGGCAGCAACTCAGAGACACACCAGGCAACGCTGCCAAGGCAAGCAGACGAGCAGCACAGCAACGGCGCAGTGAAGCACAAGGCAACACCAGCAAGCCAGGCGAAGTACACGGCGCACAAGCAAAGGACACAGAAGGCAAGGCATGCAGATGGGCAGCAAGGCAGCAGAGCAGCGAAGCAGCACCAGCACCACAGCAGCTTCACATAGTGAACACAACAGCTTGCCAAGAACAGCATGCGATGCAATGGCGGAGCTCAGACGAGGCAGTCTGCACATCCAACACGCACAGGAGTGGCACATCACCTACGCACATCAGGGGTGAACTCCACAGACTGTTGGTTCCCACCACCCACTGAGCCAGGGAGTCACTCCGACAAACATCCGTCATGACATGTAGGGCACACAGACAGCCCGAACTGAGCACCTCCCTTAAGAGTGGTGCAGGCACTCAAAAGTTCCAAACAAGGAATGTTTGTCACTGCTTAGAGAACTTAAGAGGTGCTCAGCTGGGCACATAAAAAAGACTCAGAAAAAAATTGGAGAAAGAACAAACAAAAAGAGAAAGACAGACACACATAAAACTGATTTTGTGGATGTGTGTGTGTGTGTGTGTGTGTGTGTGTGTGTGAAAATGGCAAATAGATTCAATAAAACATATTGTTGTTGTTTTTTTGTCAGAATGGATTCTATTTGAACAATTTTTTTTACTCTCCGAGTCGACGAAAGTAAAATTAATACTATTTTTTTTTTAAATGAATAAATTAAAATAATCAGTTTAATAGAACAGTTAGTCAACCTCCGAATCTGGCTCCGATTACACACGTGCTGCGATAACGGAAGAACGACAACCTTCTGCCATGATCGCTGTCGAGCTTAATAACTGCCTCTTCCGTCGATCAAAGGTCAGCCTTCTCTTCTCTTCTCTTCTCTTCTCTTCTTCGCAGCACTTGGGCTCTCTTCACGAATCATTGAGTATCGATAAAAGAGAATACATACCTAAAAAAAGTGCTGCTCTCTTCACGAATCATTGAGTATCGATAAAAGAGAATACATACCTAAAATAGAGTCGCAGAGAACCCCTCTTTCAGGTAAGAGACGCGACACAGGCATTGATTTATCAAATCTACGGCTACGATCCGCTTTGCTATCTTTCCAATTATGCCGAAACTACACCGACAAACCTTTCAATCCCAGCACTTCTCTTCATTTCCTTTCCCTAACCCCYCCCSTCTCTCTCTCTCTCTCTCTCTCTCTCTCTCTCTCTCTCTCTCTCTCTCTCTCTCTCTCTCTCTMTRCGATCCKTTTTGCTATCTTCCCAATTATTACGAAACTA